TTTTTTTCTGAAAAGGGGGCGGTAGGCCAAATAAGTTTGGGAACCTCTGCTCTAAATCCTTGTAATGAGCAGGTGAGGAAACCAGAATTCCAGTTTCATCCCCTGAAACTCAGTCATGTTTAATCACTATTAGACAACCCCTTCCTTTGTGGTGTTAGTAATGCTGTAGAGGATTAAAACCCAACACTTCAAGCTAATTTACTTTCCCTGTGTGTGTGTGTGTGTGTGTGTGTGTGTTTTCTATAAGTTTGAACTTTAGCTTAACTCACGGAAATAATAAATTTTGAGTTTGTTTATAATCAGTTTCTAACTACATTTTTGCATTCTTGTGCCCTCGCACAATGCTGCAGTGTTTGAGTTGGGAATGTTACTTTTTAAAAAAACTAGTTTCCACTGGAGTGAAAATAGTTCTGTTGGCTTTAGAGTTGATTAAAAGCTTTTTTTTTTTATAAATCCTAAATTTGGGTCCTACCGCAGGACAACAGATTCAAAACTATTAGACTCTTGTTTTTAAAATTGTGTGTCTATTTTTCACAATTACCACAACTGGATGCCAAATTCTAAGCCTTAATAATAGAGGTGCTACAAAAGGCTAAATGAAAGGGTAGACATATAAGGTTTCTCATAGAATCTTGAAGCAAAGAGTAGTTCCACATTGATCAAAATGCAGTGTGTATTTGTCTACTGTATATGGGAACTCTGAAGTCCTATAGTTCTTCAAAAGAAACCCATTGTATCAGGGAGAATTAATATAGTTTCCAAAAGCCACATAAAGGTAAAAGCCCCTCCTCCCCTTTTTTTTTAAAGTGCAGATTTTTTAAGTGCTTGAAAGAGTGGGGTTTAGGGGTCAAGTGTGCTGGATTGAGCTCAGTGCTTTCTTTTAAAGTAAATTGAGCTTTCCTTTTAATAAATAAATAAAAATTAATTGTGGAGACCAAAGTTAGCTTATCCAGAGTTAGTGCAGTCCATACAGCAGCAGTTCAGATTCCCCAGATTACTCCATTTAGTCAGGGACTTTCTTAGGTGTGAGGATAAATTGGCCTACTTTGATATCGACCCTGAAACTGACAAACCAGTGTGCCAATCATGGTGATGACTTTTGTATTGAGGGCACGTGTGGACTGAGATTACCATCTTCTTTGACATAGGTTGCTGAACAGCAGCCAGATGGATGATAACTTTGACCGGTGCTTTGGTTAACAATCACAGGCCTTTTTATCAGATGTATAAAAATGTTCTATAATTAGGTAGCGAGAGTAATGATTTGTATTGTGGAAATGTGAAAAGTAAGATACCATATTAAAACAGAGATCCAAGATACATTAAAGCAAGTAAAAAATGTCAGCCAGGAATGAAAACATGAAATTATATTTTACCCAGATATTTTCAAAATCAAAATTTTCCAGATTCAGTAGAGACTGAAATATTTGTACTAGGCTATGGAGCCAAAGAATAGTAACTTGAACACACTGAGCATGTGTGTAAAACTTGTGCTCAATTTCAGTTAATCACTAATCCTTTCCCGGTTTTTCTGCTTTACCGCAGGTATGTTTGGTGCCTATTAACTTGTTAATAGTTATTACTGTTACCGGAATGTGGAATAACCATTTATTTTACCCAGAGCTTTATTCTGACCGTGCATACTGCACTATGCTGCTCCTGCAACCCAACCTTTTCTTTGTGATTGCAAGACAAAACTCAGTGTATCTGAAAAGCAGTAGTTGTGATGTGGACACTGTTGGATTTGGAACATAAATGAAGAAAATATCCTTTAAAACAACTCTGTACAGAACTATTCGTGACTGGGATTTAGAAAAGGAAAATAGAAAGCAAGGAATCCCGGGTTCTGTTTTGTTTTTGTTTTTTGTCTGCCACTGGCACAGTACGACTTCAAACACTTGGGACAGATTGGGCAAAGCACCAATCTGTTAGATTAATAATGCCAATTTATCTTCCAGGTGTGTTGAGATGGAAAAGTGCCACTTAAGGATCAGACAGCAGGCACTATATATAAAGTTCAAACTATAACTCAGAAAAGGCCTTTCTCAATTTGAAATAGTGGTCTCTTATCTACCATGTGTCCTTTTTCTGTCCCTGATCCAGCAGAGAATTTAAGCATGTACTTAGGTGCTTTGCTGAACAGGGACGGATTTAAGTCCCACTGAAGTCTGTGTTAAGTATTTGCAGAATCAGGGCCTAAATTTGAAAACTTACTCCTTTTGGAGCCAGAAAATTATTACTGTTCTCTGACCAAAGCACTAACTTGGCAATGTGCCTTTACAAATTAAGATTTGCAAAATGCCTTAAAATGTTGACCTGTATACAAACCTTTACTAGTATCAAAACATCTACAGAATTGCAAACTCTGCATATATAGGAATCACTTACTTATTTATAATTAAAATAAATGCACAAATGTACAGTGGAAGAATGAGGAAAATGCACTACATGATGCATAATTTGCAAGTAGGTAGCAAAGGGGAAGAGTACAAATGTTTAAAGAGGCAACAACGCAATCAAATACCAAGATTTCTCAAGAAGCAATATTTTCCTGAATACATAATATGGTTAAACTTAATATATCTTTTCCTTTATATTGGCTACTTTCCAGTATTATCTCTGTTATCTGCAATTTTATATATTCGAGTGTGTTGATTCTTAGTAAAGTTGGTATATGTTGCCCAGAGAGTACATTATCTGGTACTCACAGAACAAAGACCATGGGGAAGATCCAGAAAAAGGTGGAGGAAGACACTGAAGGAGGACAAATTTTGGAGTCAGCTTGGAAAACACACTCAATAGGAACGCTTGGAGACAAAACAAAAACTGCCCACCCTGACTAACAGGTGAAGAATTCTTACAGAAGTGTGGATTGTGTTGTGTGAGAGGTGTATGCATGTCAAAAGAAGTACTTTTGGCATGTTCTCCGACAGCATTAAAGATGAGTGGTTTTCTGTACATTGTAAAACTGTTGGGAATAATTAATCTGCAGATTGGAGCAATATCCAGTTGGAATATTTCTCTCTGTGGCCTGTAGATGTCACTCTCCACACACACTTTTGGATTTGCTGGAGGCTCTTTTGCTGCACCTGAGTTTCACTTGTTCCTCTTTTTCAACCCTTTCTATTGCTTCTTTTTGTTGTATTAAATGATTTAGTACTATTGGATTTGGGGGGGATAGTTACTTTTCTTTTTTGTACATTTAGAGCTAGATCCTCGTAGATCCATGGCCTGGATTTAAAATAAGTAGTTCAAATGCAATATTACTTTAATTGAACA